CCTCTTTTGTTTGTTTTGAGATGGAGTCTTGCTCCATCTCAAAACAGAGTACAGTGGTGCAGTCTGGGATTACAGTAGCTGGGATTACAGGCGCCTGCCACCACACCTGGCTGATTTTTGTATTTTTGGTAGAGACGGAGTTTTGCCATGTTGGCCAGACTGGTTTCAAACTCCTAACTTCAAGTGATCTGTTTGCCTTGCCCTCTAAAATTGCTGAGATTACAGGTGTGAGCCACCATGCCTGATGATCCTGTCTAATTCTTAAATGCTGGGTGCACTTCCTGGGTTGGTTTTCATTCAGGTCACCAGGAGAGCTGAGAGCCTGAAGGCTCAGATGAGAACCATCCTGGTGAATGGTTGTTGCTTTGCCATGCAAAAAATCACTATGAAGTCTGCTTCTGAATCTTAACATTCCCCTGGGAGGCAGAAACCTTCAGTTTTCGTTTTGTTTTGTTTTGTTTTGAGATGGAGTCTTGCTCTGTCACCAGGCTGGAGTACAGTGGTGTAATTTTGGCTCACTGCAATCTCCACCTCCCAGGTTCAAGTGAGTCTCCTGCCTCAGCCTCCCATGTAACTGGAACTATAGGTGAGCACCACCACACCCAGCTAATTTTTGTATTTTTAGTAGAAATGGAATTTCACCATGTTGGCCAGGATGGTCTCGATCTCTTGACCTTGCGATCCACCCACCTCGGCCTCCCAAAGTGGTGGGATTACAGGTGTGAGCCACTTCGCCCTGTCAGAAACTCCACGGTTTTGTAGGTGCCTATGGTTTGCTGGCTCTGACCCCATTTCTTCTTGGGGAGAGAGAGCAGGCTGTTTCCCCTGCAGTTTGTGGAACTCTGTGACCATCCCATTCTGCCTCTCATTTTCCAAATTCCACAACATTTTCTAACTCTGATCCAGAGGTTGCAAGCTCACTGCTCGCAGGCCAAGTGAGAAACACAGACTGCAATACTTCAGTAAAGGAATTAGTGGCCATCACTTAAAAATCAGATTTTCCATTGCAAGTCTGGATTTTTGGCTTCTCATGAAAACCTTGGATCTGGCAGTACTGGGTGTTGTTTGCACAACTGCCTGGTGCTGGGGAGAGTCCCTTTCATCCCTCCCTTTTCCTCCCCTGCCCTGAGTTTCGGGTTTCATTGCCATTGATCATTGTGTCAGAGGCGCGTGAACCAGAGCAACTCCATCTTGAATAGGGGCTGGGTAAAATGAGGCTGAGACCCAGGGGGCTGCATTCCCAGATGGTTAAGGCATTCCAAGTCACAGGATGAGGTAGGAGGTCAGCACAAGATACAGGTCATAAAGACCTTGCGATTAAACAGGCTGCAGTAAAGGACCAGCTAATATCCACCCAAACTGAGATGGCCACAAGAAGTGACCTCTGGTCGTCCTCATTACTGCACTCCCACCAGCGCCATGGCAATTTACAGAGGTCATGGCAATGTCAGGAAGATACCCTATATCGTCTAAAAAGGGGAGGCATGAATAATCCACCCCTTGTTTAGCATGTCATCAAGAAATAACCATAAAAATGGGCAAACAGCAGCTCTGTCTATGGAGTGGCCATCTTTATTCCTTTCCTTTCCTAATAAACTTGCTTTCACTTCACTCTGTAGACTTGCCCTGAGTTCTGTCTTGGGCGAGATCCAAGAACCCTCTCTTAGGGTCTGGATCCGGACCCCTTTCTGGTAGCAGCTGGGCTCATGCCATTGATTTCCTGATCATAGTTGAATGTTGTTCACTACCTGTGTGCTCTAACAAAGCTGGGAAGCCACAGAAAGAAACAGAAACCCAAAAGTGTCTTCAGGCTGGCCCACATCACCCACTGCCATCACCTGCTTGACCCCATAGATTCTAGACAATTTGGTGACCTTTTTAAATGATTTACACTTTGCTCTTTTTTTTTTTTTGAGATGGAGTCTAACTTTATCAACGAGGTTAGAGTACAGTGGCATGATCTCGGTTCACTGCAACCTCCACCTCACAGGTTCAAGTGATTCTCCTGCCTCAGCCTCCCGAGTAGCTGGGATTACAGGCGGCCACCACCACATCTGCCTAATTTTGAGTAGAAGCCAGGTTTCCCCATGTTGCCCAGGCTGGTCTTGAACTTCTGACCTCAGGTGATCTGAATGCCTCAGCCTCCCAAAGTGCTGGGATTACAGGAGTGAGCCGCCATGCCCGGCCCACACTTTGCTCTTTTAGCTTTCAAACTCACATTAAAAAAAAAAAAAAAAAACGGGTGGGTTAGGTGGCTCATGCCTGTAATCTCAGCACTTTGGGAAGCTGAGGCAGGTGGATCACCTCAGGTCAGGAGTTCAAGACCAGCCTGGCCAACATGTTGAAATTCCATTTCTACTCAAAATACAAAAATTAGTTAGGAGTGGTGGCAAATGCCTGTAATCCCAGCTACTTAGGAGGCTGAGGCAGAAGAATTGCTTGAAGGTGGAGCTTGCTGGGAGGTGGAGGTTGCAGTGAGCCAAGATCACTCCACTGTACTCCAGCCTGGGCAACAGAGCAATACTCTGTCCCCAGAAAAAAAAAAGAAAAAGTAATGTACATAGGATAAGCATGTTCCCCTTGGTTCCCTCTCTTTTTTCTGGCCACGTTTGTGTCTAAAGGCACAGTGAACAAGAGCTACCTTCCCCTAGATTAAATACCAGCATGGACATGCCACTCACCACTGAACCACTATGATGAGTTAGACCTGCCATTCACAGGTCACGCTGTTTCCCTCTCTCCAGGAACACACTTTCCCCGATGATACGAGACAGCTGCCCTGTGGGCTGCATGTGATGAGGAAAAACCCAACCTTTACCTTTAGGGAACTGATCATCATCTCTGCTAGGTGGGAAGGCAGTGATTGCTGTCACGTTTCGCTTCAGAGATGACCGTGTTTCCAAGAGGGCAAGTGGTATTTGGAGTCAAATGACGGGAAAGTACAGGATTCTTCGAGCGAGGGGAAAAAAAAACACAGTGTCATCATGACTGTTTTGGGATTACTGACTTCATCAGGCGTCCTCAGGGCTACAGCCTGAGTTTCTGCTTCCAATGTACCAGGGAGAATATTCCACTGAGCCACGCTAATGCCCCCAGCAAAGTCTAAAGTGGCGAAGGGAGTTCAGTGACCATCCGTTTGGCTCCTGGAGTGAGGGCACCTTCTGGGTCCTTTCCTAGACACCCCTTGGCCACCTTTTTCCACCTGTTTTTCCGAGTGAGTGCCATCATCACCTACGTGTGCTGCGACTGGTTCAGCAAGAGCTTCGTGGGCTGTTTTGTCACGGTGCTGCTCCTCCTGTCCCTGGACTTCTGGTCTGTGAAGGTGAGGCCCTTTCCTGTGACGTCATCACTCCTGAAACATGGGGCTCTCCCTATGCTTGTGGGACCAAGAGGTGCTTTGGTTTAGATTGCTTAAGAGTGCTGAGCAGCGTCACTTAAAAGTAGGGGAAGCCGGGCACAGTGGCTCACATCTGTAATCCCAGCACTTTGGGAGGCTGAGGCGGGCGGATCACCTGAGGTTGGGAATTTGAGACCAGCCTGGCCAACATGGAGAAACCCCATCTCTACTAAAAATACAAAATCAGCCGGGTATGGTGGCACATGCCTGTAATCCCAGCTACTCGGGAGGCTGAGGCAGGAGAATCCCTTGAACCTGGGAGGTGGAGGTTGCAGTGAGCCAAGACAGTGCCATTGCACTCCAGCCTGGGTAACAAGAGTGAAACTCCGTCTCAAAAAAAAAATAGGGGGAAAGATGCATTGTTTAGCACTTACTAAATGGCTTTTGAATGTCAGTTGTCATTCTTGCACATGTGACAACCCCATATGACTTTGGATTTTTTTTTTTTTTGGAGACAGAGTTTCACTCTCGTCACCCAGGCTGGAACGCAATGGCGCTGTCTCAGCTCACTGCAACTTCCACCTCTCGGGTTTAAGCGATTCTCCTGCCTCAGCCTCCCGAGTAGCTGGGATTACAGGCGCCTGCCACCACGTCCCACAAATTTTGTATTTTTAGTAGAGACAGGATTTCTCCGTGTTGGTCAGCCTGGTCTCAAACTTCTGACCTCAGATGATCTGCCCCTGCACCCCGCCTCAGCCTCCCAAAGTGCTGGGATTACAGGTGTGAATCACCACACCCAGTGACTTTGGATTTTTTGTAAAACTTACTGTACTAGTCCGCTTCCACAATGCTGATAAAGACATACCCAAGACTGAGTAATTTATAAAGACAAACAGGTTTCATGGACTCAATTCCACGTGGCTGGGGAAGGCCTCCCTATCATGGCGGAAGGTGAAAGGCAAATCTTACATGACGGCAGACAAGAGAGAATGGAAGCCGGTGGGGCACGGTGGCTCATGCCTGTAATCCCAGGACTTTGGGAGGCTGAGGCGGGAGGATCATCTGAGGTCAGCAGTTTGAGACCAGCCTGGCCAACATGGTGAAACCCCGTCTCGACTAAAAATACAAAAATTAGCCGGGCATGGTGGCGTGTGCCTGTAATCCCAACTACTGGGGAGGCTGAGGCGGGAGAATCACTTGAACCCAGGAGGCAGAGGATGTTGCATTGAGCTGTGATCGTGCCATTGCACTCCAGCCTAGGTGACAAGAGCGAAACTCTGTCTCAAAAAAA